TTATAATGGACAGGATATTGTCAGGTGTCCAGCTCTGGACTCAGGATCAGGTTACAGGCTTAATGGGTTAAACCACTAAATTACACTCTTAATTCAATTCTGACACACTCCTGTTGAAGCCAGGGGAGTAAGACGAGGCTAAAGCAAACAGTCCTTTTAAGTAGTGATTCAGACATTATGGCAAGAACACACTCGCTGTCTTTCCAATGGCAGCTGGTATAGGGCTGTTGCTCCAAACTGACTTAGCATTCGTAAGGGTGAGTGTAACTTTCGAGTGAAGGTTATATAACAGAGTTTAATCAAGTACTTGTAGAAGTTAAATATACTGACATGTTGCTCTGAAGAGGATCTGTTTCGGATTTAGTCAGCAAACCTGGTTCAGGTCAAATGACAGAGCCGAATAAGTAGATCATAATTTGATTTCTCAAACGCAGTCTAACCAAATTATACTGGCAGTGTCCATAAAGAAACCATTTAAGCACAGGATATTACTGGAAAAAATGTCAATACAAGTGAAGGTTAATATTTGAACCATTTAAAACAATGCTTTCCTTGTCTGACTTTGACTTCCTAAATATACAGAAACAACAGAAGTGATTGTTATAGGCTTGCTCTGACATGATTTTTGACCCTACAATGATGCACCACACGATGATGGCTGCATCTATTGTGTTCTCTGTATCGATTTAATGGCTTTAACTGGTCATGCCTTATCATATTTACTGACAATTAGCTGATAAACTGTCATACAAATAAGCATTAACCTCCACTGTTGATTATTAAAATGGGAACTGTTGAGTTTCATCCAAAAGACTGAAAAGACTTGAGTGACGACTTGAAGATTTGCTGACACCATGTAAGACACAGCCCAGTTTAATACGAAGCTCTACTCTCCCTTAGCATTCATCAGATGTTGGAGAACTTTACAGTGATGGATGGGTGGATCTCTGCTCCAGCAGAGGAAGGAATCATCTATCAAAGGAAGCTTCAAAAAAGAAAAGACTGCTGTAACGAATGGCCGACGTGCTTTTGATTAAACCCTCTGTGGTGAATATCTAAGGAAGCTAAATGACACACTCGTCAGCATGACAGATGTAATGTGTCATCTGTGATGTATAATCTCAGATGACTGTACAGTACATTGATTGATTTATGATTAAAAATACAAACAGCAACAAAGATATCACTTACTGAATTCACTGTACCATAGGTGTTGGTGTTATGTTGGTGGTTGAACTGGCTGGTAGCCATTTTCAATCCAGTAACAGAACATTAGGTTCTTTAACTGTTCTAACTTAGGTTAAAACATTAGGTTTACCTGATGTGTGGTTTGGGATTTTTCTTAAATGAGTTGCGCTTGCTGATGCAGTGGCGGCCCTGGCACATTTCGTGCCCTAGACAAGCCTTTTCTTTTAATGTTCTTTCTCTCCTCATCCACTCCTCTCAGTAGTGTAGTGGTAGCTGAGTGATCACCAGAGAGCTTTTGTCATTTTGACATGATAACAATACAGTGTTTTTCGGAATAAAGAATAAAACATCAACCCAAGCTGAGTTGAATGAGTGTGCGGATGAGAAGGTTTACAGTAAAACTCCACTGAAGGACACTCAGCTGTAACAGATCCCACGCTCTCAGTTTTGGCCTCACCGCTAAAAAACACAACAACATAAATTCCAAAACTTTACAACCTTCAACAAACTGCCACAGTCTGCAGACTGTAGCTGCCTGGCTGGGAAAACAATGTGTGCTCCCTCTCGATCTGGCTTATAATATGCCAGCCTGTTCTCATTTCACACAATTAGCCAAATTATCAACTACGTTCAACTCAATAGGTTGTAAGACATAGCAGACATCACAAATATAAGTGCCAAAGCTACTGTACTTAATGCACCCCACAAAGTCCAGTGCAACATTCCTCATAGCAACACTGGGCGTGAGATGCCTAAAAAGAACAGCTGGTCTGCATGGCTGATCTACTTGGAATTCACCAAGTGATGAAAATAGAGACAGATCAAGGGTTTTATGTGACAGATATGGGACTGAATTAATCACACTGGAGAGTCTTACAAGAAGCAGTAATGTTTGCAGCTGTGCACGATGCATTTATTAGGGGATATTTTATTTTAGTACCATGCTTTTGAACATATCAATGCCTGACATTATTTACCATCTTAGGTGTCTCCCCACCCAGCGCTATTTACTGTAAACAAAGGTAAGAACTAAATCCTTGATGGAAATGCACAGAACAGAGGAAAGGTCATCAGCACTCAATCACACAGACCAACAAACTGAGGATGCACTGCTTTTTATGGGTTTAAACACTAAAGCATGCTACTCATTTGGCCACACCCCAACCTGTGATGTCATGGTAAGTGTTTAGACGATATACTGCATACTATTGCATGACCCTAAAAAGTCCTTAGAAACTGTGTTCTTGTACAGTGCTGGCTTGACAGAAAGACCCTGGCCCTGTCAGAGGTGAAAAGTATCTCGGTTGTCTTGAGTCATTTGTCTGGACTGACCGGCAGATAAAGATTTGGCTCACAGCAAGCAAACGTCAGCTGGTTTCGTTGTCAGCTTTGGGATACTCAGACAGAAGATTGTTCTTTCTCACATCTTGTAGTTACAGCCTCATGACAAACTTCACTGTTACCCACAGTGCCGCAGCTACAGGTTAGGGCATCATGTGCTGTGCATAGGGCACCAAAACAGCTGAATATGATCATCATCAATCATAATCATCATTCACTTTTCCAGTTAAAGTCCGTTCACACACAATGCGATTCAAGCTGTGTTCGTCACTGGTTCAGCACACATAACGAAGCAGCAGGGCTCGCCTGTGCTTTTAGGTTACTATTACATTTATCAATGCAGTCAGTTGCCTCTGCTGAGTAAAGTTTTTGGAAACTTAAGCTTATTAAAACATATCCGCATGTAGGGCTGTACAATTAATAGAAATATTATCGAAATTTCAATTCAGTGAGTACAATTTTCAAATCGCAGGGGCTGAATTTTTTTTGACTAAGGAAAAATGCATCACAACATAACATCACTAATGACGCATTGTGGTGTTACACAAATGTCCCACCCAGCAAATCATATTCCAGACATTAGGGAACATGCTTTTTTGGTACAGACCCCAGCAAAAATCACATCATCATCATTTAAAATTTTATTCTTTAAAAATGAAATGCAAAAATGACCGTTCCTACTAAAATCCCAACACATATCAAAATCCCAATATCTGTCAGAGAAATCGCATAATTATTCGCTGATTATGTGTCTTTTGCATATTGTGCAGCCCTACCTGCGTTCAGCAATGGGACAGGAATGCCAATGTGGTCTCGCTATCATCAGCATCAATGCAGAACCCAAATGGCACCCAAATGGCCAGCAGTAGCCCTGATTTCCTGGGAGAGTCAGTGGCTTTAAGCTAATTTTACTCTAACCCTAAAGCCCAGTTGTGATTATCAATAATAAAAAGAGTATTTTTCGGTGATCAACAGCTCCCTGTCTGTGGAATCATTGATTTAAAAAACAAACAAACAAACAAAAAAAAAACAGCAGGTCAATCCTTTGAATATGTAACAATATTTTAGCTTTTATACAAAAAGCATTCACTCTGCCAACATCTTTTCTTGATTTTATGAATAAACATGACATTATTTGAGTTATTACAGCTGTGTGTGGAGCACCCAAAGTACCCAAAACACACACGAGTCCAATGACTTGAATAGTTTCAAGTAACATTTCAGTGTTGTTGAGAGCGTCATAGTTAGCTGCATCTAAACTAAAACAAATCATTGAATCTGAGACCAGCTGCCTGAAATATGGGAGCATATTTTGACTTTGAGTCATACAGGGTTTATCTTCAATTTGAACAAGAGACTCAAACAATTGTATTACTCACTGGTCTAGACAAAGTCATTCACATTTGTATTCAGTGTACTTCCCAGGCATTTATGTAACCTTAAACACCTTTAGTCATGAGCCTGGGGTCTGTTTAAGGTCTTTGTTTAGCTTCTGAGACTGGGGAAAATCTCTGCACTTATACGTTTAGAGTTACCTTTAAAGTTTTTAGAGTATAATTCTGTCTGACCCAAAGATATGATGTGGACATCTTAACTGTATTTCACAGTCTCACACAAGCCCTTAAACCATCCCAAAGGTTTAAGATGTAAGGTGGCCAACCTTTTACATTCAAAAAAATCCCTTTGTGGACATTATTTTTTATAGACTCCCAGTTTGAGATGTTTTTTAATCCCATTCTTTCTAATCCTGTGTCTTTATTACTAGTTTATTTTGACCCTATTGTTTTGTTGCTTACTTTAAATCGCTTAAACTTAAATATTTCTGCAAGATGAGAGTTAGAACAATACAATTAATAAGTATGATCTAAGACTCTCCCAGATGAGACACCGTCATATAAATCTTTTTGATTAGGGGCACCATGTGTTTGAGCTCACCTCATCTCATAACACCAGGGACCCTCAACGAGAATTTCAGATGGAAATATTACTATATATGTGTCCCAGATGGATAGGATTATAGCAAAAACAGTCTCAAATGGCTTAACAGGGGTGGATGAGGTAGGGAGGAAACTATACTGATGGATATGGCAAAAGGCCTGAACCCTTAAGTGTATTCATTAGTGCCTTGTTGAAATAATCGTGGCATGTAATTATGTATGGATGATTAAATGGGGTGTAATTACCTAGACTGCTGACACAGCTGAAGCCTATAAATCACAGCGCTTTTTGGAGATAAAACCTCTGGCTGAAAAGCTCAGCCGAGCAGTTCCATCTGGTTTTCACATGCACATTATCCAATCTCATCTCACTGAAAACAATGCACTCAACTGCCTCCAACTGCCATGTTATATAATTTGGATATCAGTTCTGTTTCACTTGCTGTTTTGCATGAGTTTGTTTGGTGATTACCAGAACAGCAGTTATCATCTCGTCATTTAAACTTACACAAGCATGCATCACAACAGACTCACCTGCTTGCCCTCCAAAGTGTACAGCCTCCTCACAGCTCCAGAGTCCAACTTGATTGCATCTGTGATGTCGGTGAGCACTTGCTCAAAGGAGTGCGCTGTCTTCTTGTTGAGCAGTATACGTACTGCCTTGCGGGGTTTGACACCGCTGCGGATGACTGTGACTAGTTTGGGTTTGATGAAGTCCTTGGACTCACGCTGCAGCTCACTCTTCAGCGGGATGAGAGAGGAGAGGGAGCGTGATGTGCCGGTCTTGCAGCCCACGGACCAGTTGGGGTTGACGTTTTTGGTGTAGTCCACACGCCGGAAGGGTTCATTCGAGGCACACACGTAACTCTCACCTGGGAAAGAAAAAAGTTGCTAGATTGATCTCTTGCCAACCATTTGATCAAAATGTACTGTATATAATATTATAAGAAAAAAAAAATAAAAAAATCATAATGCAATATATCAGAATCCACCGCACGTCAACCCCATCTCATTTCAAGGATGTCAAATACGGCAACCCTGTCATTGGCCCTTGGTTTACTGATGCACAAGGCACCTTACAGCGTTGGTACAAGATGCCCCAGGCTTTCAACTAACTCCAATGTAACACCTCTCGGAGCAATAACGTAGTTGAAAGAGCAGGAAAGTCTAAGTAGGGCAGGAGGAGTGGTGGATGGGTCAAACACACACTGGACTTTTATCCAGGAGACAGGTGTAATCTTTTTTCTGAACCCACCCAAGTAGTTTTGTTGCCCAAACCTAAAGTAGTTTTGGTGGCAAAACCTACATTTTTTGTAAAGATGGAAGTTTATTCTGAAAGAAAGTGTAACATGGAATGAGCAGAAATCGACACATTAAAAAAAATTAAAACAAATAAAACTGATGCTAGAAGGGTACCTAAAGCATCATAGTTTTAAAAAGGGCACCTAAAATAACACAACAATAGCCATTGTCTTAGCGTGCAGGTATATGCAGGCAAAAAACGGACGATAATAAAGTTTTCATGGAACGAGCGGGAAATCAACATGGAAACTGGCATTTTCAGAACTGTTGCTACAACAGTACCTAGATTAGCGCACCTAAAATAACACAACAATAGCCACTTTGTTAGCATGCACTTTTTTGCAGGCTAAAAAGAATAACAAAGTTTTCAGGTGATTTGCCGTGTTCTTTGTAGATTTGTGCTGTGCCCGTTTCCTTTGGGATATCTGGCACCAGGGGCGTAAATACAGACAGTGTAGACAGTGCGGTTGCACTGGTGCCTGTGAAGTTGGGGGCCCATAGAGAGAGTGGGCCTTCCAACAATGTGTTGGATGGTGAATGGGCCCTTATGAGCGATTGCCACCTTGAAAATATAACTGTGTTCAAAGAAAAACTCATATTAAATTAAAAACAGTGCTATTTGCGATATATACCTTTGAAAAAGGCAAACTCATCTCAGTCATGTTTCTTTTTTTGTAAAATAGTTAACAGCACCTTTAACAAAATTATTATAACATAACTATAAATCAAATATTTAAGTTGTTAAATTATCAATTTCTTAATTTCTTTGGTAATTTCTGTTATGTACAGATACACAGTGATGATTGCTGAGTAATTACGTATGTTGTGGTATGTGACACTATGTCCAGTGTCAAGTCTCTGATCAAGCTTCGAAGCATTCAGTCAGCCCAAGTTTGAAATGTAGCGTCACCGACCAAGCTGCTGTATTTGACAAGTTGGGAGTGAGAACAAGTTGCACATGTATGGTATGTACCATGAAATTCTGCGTCAACCTGACATTAGACGACTGAGTGGAACAACGAAGAGTTAACATTCCTCAGCTGAAACAAAAAGGCACATTGAGAGGCCGGGCCAGTGTAACACTGTCCTCTCTCCCTTTTCAGCTGTTGAGCTGCTGCGCTGGCCATCCTCCAAAGCAAAGCATTTTGTTTTATCTATCAGCATTCCATTCCAACAGTTAACACGCAAATGTTTCCCCTTAAGAACAAAGTCATGTGACAAGTACAGGGGCTTGGCTGATACACGAAAACCACAGCAAGAATGTCTGGTGATTGTTTTGAAGGCTGAGTGTTGGATGAGAAACTTGGTGCTGGTCTGTTCCACTCTGAGTAACAGGGAGAACGTGACAGTTACTTTCTGCTCGTGCTACATTCATCACTAAAGTATTCAAGTGTCCACGAATACATAGCTGTTTCTCAGGATCAACTTGTACCATAAGGAAATACTGTGAAAGCAAATATCCACTGTCTTTCAGTGAAGGTATTTACAGGGCTAGAGGAAACAGATCACTGAGTGTCTCATTAGGGCTGTCAAAGAGAAGAAAAGCACAAGCAAACTGAAAAAATAAAAAATGTGTGGCTTGTTAAAATGCCTGTCATGCCTGTAACTCTGCATCTCTGGGTCATTAGTAGAACTGCATGGCATTGAGGCTGGACAGGGAGCAAAAACACACTCTGGTTTACCTCAGAAATGCGTTTGTTTACAACTTGAAAAGGCCTCTGTTTATGACACTGTGTAAAGTTTCAGTATCTTTTGGTAAATACTTATTTTTACAAACAGTATCCAGTCTATGAAATGTTAGTTATCTGATGTGTGTCAAGACAAACCAATTGCACTGCAGTGAAAGAAGGCCATATGAGAAAGTGTGTCCCACGATACCTGGTTTTATTAAGCCTGCAATTAACCAAAGGCTAATTAAAAGCCTAGGCCACAGCTGGGGGGACTGCGCTACGGCTGAACACTAAAACAAAATATAACTGGGGCTGTCACTCATCTGAGGGACAATGACAGAATAGTGAAATGCTCTCAGATGGGGACTGGTGACAAGACTATTCCCCGAGGTGCAGGGATCCCAGGTGCAACATCCCTCGGTGATGTGAGGGGAGCCCCAACCAGCCACCACTGGCTGCTTTCCTTATGTGGACGACAGATGAGGTCAGCCTCCACAGAGCTCACTAACCAGTCCAGCAGCTTTGACTGCAATGGTCACACTGCTGTTACCAGTCCAAAACCCAAGCGATGGCAGTAAATGAAACTCATAAAACAGTGTTAATATTAGGGCAATATAAAACTCCTCATCACCAAGACAATGAAGTGACCCCATGATCCAATTCTAATCTCAGCATGCATGGCCTGACATAATATACACCACTGTAGTAAAAGCAATTGGACCAGTATGGGCAGCACACTGTTGGTTTCCCTTGGTAGACATAACATTAGGTCACATCTTATAGACGGGGTAATTTGAAATGTTTGATGTCTTAATCTGTTGCTAAGCAGAGTTTCTACCAAGAAATTGTGCTGATTGTTCTTCTATCCAAGAAATCTCTTTTAAACCCAGTGTTTAGTGATCTCTGAGTGACTATAAAATGTAGTGGCCAAGCACTACCAAGACACAAAGAACTGTCTATCCAAAATTCATTCATGATGCAGCTCTGTGTTGGCCCGGAGTCATACCCCACAAGCGGCAATAAATTAGACATTTAAAAATACTTCTAAAACTGAATTTATTAAGTTTAAAACTGAAATTCTTCAAGCAACGACTACAAATCTTGGTCATTCACAAGACTGAAACAATTACATAAAAACAGTGATTTTATAAAGAGAATGAAAACTTGATTTCCTTTTATTTTGGGTAAGTATTCTTATCATAAAAGTTGGCTTTACTTCAGCCCCAAGAGTTCAATTGCCAGCTAACCCTTCCCCAGATTATTTGTTTAAGGTGATGGATCAGTCTTAATGGGAGAAGACAAACACATTAGAAACTAGTATTATGACAGGCAGACAAATTCTTCTGGAAAGATGAAATACTGAGGGGGTGCCTTCAGTCCAAGAAAGGGCTGCAGTGTTGGCAAGGGTGGCAGCATTCAGAATATAAAATGCCTATGAACGCTTTGGTAGATTGGATAGATATATTAGAAACTAGGGAAAATACTAAACCCACTGGAAGGAGGACCCGGGTAGACCCAGGACACACTGGAGGGATTACAAATGTCATCTGGCCTGGGAACACCTTGGGGGACCCCAAGGTGGAAGCTGGAAAGTGTTGCTGGGGAAAGGGATGCCTGGGGTGCTTTCCCAATGACCTGGCCCCGGATAAGCAAATGAGAATGGATGGACTATTGGATGGAAAATACTTAACCTTTTTGGAGAGCTCTTGACATAGACAACACTATGTGGGGGGTTGAATTTTCATGGTTACTGTCTTAGTCTATGCATGTATTTGCTTAGTACTTCCTCACTTTGCAATGTCTAATTTGTTGACTTTTGTCTTGTTTTAAATATCTATGTCAACTGTTTATGATGAAGCATATTTGTATTGAGAACTAAGGCCAATTGTGTTTGTGGTGATGATGAGTTGTGCGGGCTAGGGTGTGGGGTTTAGATGTATATTTTGTGATGCATATCATTTCGTTCTCTTAATAAAACCTGTAAATCAGAAAACTGTCAGCTAGCCCTGGAGGCTTTATCACAATACTGCTGATATAAGAACAAAGGCTACAACAATGTATCTTCTGGCTATGAGCAGCACTGAGCACAATGTTAGAGCAGCAGTCTAGTCAATAAGCGAGAAAACCATTATGGATCTCACATGACTTGTTTGGGGTTTTTTTTTTTCAATTTTAAAGAGACACTTTAATCTTTTCTCTGGGTAGGTCACTTAGAAATTTACCCTCTTTAGGATGAGTTCTTGGATTTACCAAAGCAATAAATTACACAACGTTTCTAATGTTTTTCTGCCTTCATATATTCATCTACTTTAACCCTAATTTTACCAGCTGGTGCTAATAAATCCCTTGGCTTGCACACTTGCTATTGTCCCAACTAGAATCCCTATGTCAGCTTGTTATGTACCCTCACATAACCACAGAGTAAACTACAAAGCTCTTTCGAAACCCAGTTGAGTATCTGCTACCTCTCTGTGTGGTTTTCCACTAGCACAGCAGTTCAATAGGTTTCTTGTTCAATGGACCTGGGTAGATATCAGTCTGTTTTATAGTTTATCGATGCTTTAAGTCCTATTGAAGCTGTTTTAAGTTACTGCTGATGTAAACTGAACCTTACATTACAAGTTTTCCATTGGCGAACTGAACCAGGATGATTATATTTAAGATGTTATAGGAAGTACAATGTGTTTGTCATCAAGTTAGCATAGCTTCATTAGTAGTGCTGTTCTTCAATAAAAACATGTGTAATCAACCGCAGATGGACCTATTCAGTGCAACGCTACAGCCGTGCCAGCGCCGTTCACAGCATGGCTCAGTGCTATCTTTCCTACCATGGAAAAACCCTACAAGTTGACTGGTTGGCTCAGTAATCCCATCCAGCCATAAGGGGCACACATGTGAGTGGTGCTTATTGGGTTTCCACACAAAAGAGCCCCAGTAGGCCTCAATCAATGGGAGGCAGACTGCTGAGCTGTGCAGTAATGTTCCCTCTCTCTGTCCATTAGATGGGTGAGTAAACAGGGACAAGACACTGGTGCTCGGCCCACCTGCAGTGCATCTGACATCTGAGTTTCTCCAAATCACAAAAACACTTTCCCACTTCACCCTCATGTTATCAAACCATGCAGATAGTTTGGCTAATGAAGTTTTTTAATATCTGCCTTTGGGAGTTCACTACCACAATAAAATTTAATTAAATTGAATTAGGATAAAAAGCATAAAAGAAATTAGCAGCAATGGTTGAAATGATGCATTCTCCAAAGCAACTGGAAAAAGACATTCTTCCTAATTGTTTTAAGGGAATTTCTCAATGCTTTAAGTACCACAAAGGAAAATCTACCAACTTCCCCATCTTCCTCTGCAGACACCTCTACAGTACTGGGGTCCTTGAGGAGAACCAGCACATTTCATGCTGTGTTCATGTCATGTGGGATGGATGGTAGAGGTAGGAAAAATTCCAATGTTTATGACTTGAATGAGTCATTAGACAACTGAAGACTGTTGTGTGAAAGAAGAACTGGCAGTGTGAAGGTTAATATTGTGCACTGGCAACAACACTATATACATTAAATCTGGTTTCACCTTGAATGATGAACTGGCCAATGATGTGAGACATCTTTGTTTGGTTTAAAGTAATTTCATATTATTATGTGCCAAGTTGGATATATTGAAGATTTCAGTAAAGTCAGAGTTTCCCATGACTTGGATGTTGATGTGAACACCGCAGAATTTTCAGTAACTGTTTGTTAACAGTATCACCAGAGGAAGTAAAGCTAACCCCAGATTCACTATATTTGCTTTCTTGTTTTCAGTTCCTTGTCCGCAATTTTTGTAGCTTCCTCTTGGATGTGTGCAGTTTATGGTCTGATGCCAGGTCACTACATGTGCCCATAAATGTCCCAAACACAGCAAAAAATGGAAGAAAACAAGAAAATACAGGCAGAGGGCAAAGTCTCTACAGATAGATACACCGCCATACACCTCTAGGTGGTCATGAGTGATGATTGAGAGGGATTGCTTCTGTTTGAGTTCTGCACAGTATACCTTAAATCAGCTGCAGGCATCTTGGAAACAAAAAAAAAATCTGCATTGCCAGACAAAGCTAGAGGGTAAAAATGAATCTTTTTGTGATCTGACCCTTTAAAAACAAAGAAATCACTGACAAAAGGAGTTGCTGAAACATCAGTAGTAACTACTCAACAAGTAATGTATGCCCAGTATCTTTTACTAAGCAACAATGTCCTGAAAAATGAAGGCAAAGTGCACAAGTGCGGTGGCAGAATGCTCCGTATCTGATCCAATGCACCAAAACAACTTAGCATTGCCAAACTAGTGATGCTACAAAATTCAGATCAGGCGCTGGCCTAAATCTTCCCCAGTCACTCAGGGGATGGGGCAGAGGAAATGAGCGTAGCACAGTCTAAAGTTTTAGGAGGATGTGGGATGAAAATAGACCAGTATACGAGAATAATGACTGCAGTAAGAGGTCAGTGGATCCTGAGTGTGAGTGGCAGAGCCGTAACCCCCTGTGTTAAAAGAGGATTGCAGGCAGGTCACAGTGCAGACAGACACACACCAAGGCTGAAACATGAAGATTAACTTATTACTGAGAGGTCACTGTCTCTGCGGGGTGAATAACAGTTGGAATAACACTGCAGGAAAGCGAAAGGGTAGGAGAAGACTGTGTTCCAGTTGTGTCTGCAGTATGCAACTGCCTTTGACAGTTTTAAAACTTTTTTTAAAAAAATACCATAGTTAATACCACAGTTGATGGTTGTTGTTGTAACTCCTGTCAGTCATCTAGCTCCTCACAGAAATGATCATACAGCTGTGACTACTGGACACATTCATGCCATTACTTCACCCCTATACTATAAGCAAAGAACAGATACTGGATGGGGGAGGGAAACTTCCATCTTTCAAGCCCTGAGGGTGAGATCAATTTAAAAGACTTTTAGCAACCAATAGATGCTATGATGACACACACAATCATTGCACTTAACAAGGCACTTTCAACACACAAACGAAAGAGGGGAGAGACTGAGAGCGTCCAGCTGAGATCAATGGACACTGATGCACATTAGCAGCAGCCTGTGCAGAACCAAAGCTGCACTGAGGAGGGGTCTGCCTGCCTGTGTGCACGACACTGGGTCAAACATGTCAGAGCAGTTATGTCAATGATGCAAAGGAGGCTCTGCACTGCATCTATTATACTGTAATGGGCTCCAGAGATACATTGATATAAGTACAGTAGATGTCTGCACAAAGGAACACTTATCTTCTTGGCAGAGAAAACTTTCCTGATTGGCAACATATATAAAATGAAAAATAAATGTGAATATGTTCTGGGTGACCTTTTAAACTTCTGGCATAACTTGAGGTAGCCTGAGGTTATAGCTGTGTGTATTTGCATTGGGCATTTAGCCAATACTCCAGGCAGGACACAGCTTTTAGCAAATCAATTGCATGTCTGAATCAATGCATTTTATCTATCATCAATACCATCAAGTACTGGGCCTATTTGAGGTGGTTGTTACATCCATGATCACCCTTACCCTCTACTAACTCATCCAGACTGGTGATCCTCCTGCCTCCATCCAGTGCGTATAACGTCCGGACTCCTTGAGGAAGGTTGACATTGTCCGACAGGGACCTTGTGAGCTCCATGAGCAGAGCATCCAGAGACCTGAAGCGGTCGTTGGACACTGCATACACCAAACCTTTAAAGTATCTGTCTCCATTGCGATAAAACCGCACTTTTCTGGCTTTCTTCTCGGATGTGAGGGACTGGAGGGTGCGTGTGCGGTAGAAACTACAGTGCGCACTGTGCGCAGGGCTGGGGACCAGACCGTTGCCTCTGGAGCCTGACTGGGACCCAGAGACCGAGTTGGTCCTCGGTGTTCGGTGCGGCTTCTCTCGTTCCTCAAAGTGTTCAAATTCAATACTTCTGCTCAGCGACATGTTGTCTGGCTGTTTATCTTCCTCTTTTAAACAAAATCCCAAACAGAGCAAAGCAACTTTTTATCCAGAGTGCTGGAAAAATCAATGCGTCTGCACGTGTGCGTCTCCAGTCAACACTTCCAGTCCACTGTGTGGGACTACTGGCTGCACCGGTTGCTGGTGACAAGTCCAAAACGCCAGAACCCAGCTCTTAAAAACGAGAAGCAAGCCGAGGAATAATCTTGAAGTCCACAGCAAATGAATCCCGTCCTCCTGACTGATCCGATGAATTGATTTGTCTACCTACAACAGCACAGCAGGAGCAATAATCCAAACGCCAGCTCGGGATTATCCGGTTGAGACCGTGTCGAATAAAGAGCAGCTGGCATTGACAGACATTGCAGTGGACCTGCCGCCGGCTGGCTTTCAAACAACCAAGCAATTTTACAAAACTTCGGCGCACCGCACCTAACACCGCAAGCCGCCTCCTTCTCCACCTCACATCCTTCCTCTGACTGGTCGGGCGCTCAAGCTGTCAAATCAGTGGATAATCAGAGAGGGGGAGGCTCTCCCTGCCTCAGGGTCCTAATGCTCTCTATTGTTCTGATAATTAATATTCACGACCTGGAAACAATGAGGTTCACACTGACCCAAATGTGTTCAAACTGAAAAAATACCGCATAAAGTTTTTCTTGAGTCTGATCTGGAAATACAGAGGCTAGAAATAACATCATTAAACTAAATAAATATAGGACTACAAAAATATATTATAGTACTGAAAATTCAATGCATTTATCAGGTACATTTACATTACAATTATCAATTTTGCAGACACTTTTGTCCAAAGTGATGAACAAATTAAATATGTCGTTATTTCATTCATTTATTTTGTATTTAAACAGATAGGCTTGTATTATATCAACATCCTCTTGAAACTAACTTTTGTTTGGTATGCATTTTTAATTTCTCCTAGCTTTTTTGGACCAGTAGTATAACAAACTAAACATTGTCAGCGATAATAAAGTCCCAGTGTCCTCAAACAAGATGATAATAGGGTCCTAATGTCTTCAAACAAGTGCTTCCTAATTAATGGTGTCTTAGCTTGTTACTGTTGCTAAAATTGGTCAAATTTGTTGCCATGGCAAACTACAAACATTATTAATCACAAATAAACAAGTTTCAACCATAAAATGTGATCAGGTTTTGGATCTTTTCCCTTCTTGTGTTCTGATCAGCTGCAGACTGACTTGTGCCATCTTGTTTGTACATGGATCAGTGTATTGTGGTCTTATTACCACTGGCACAAAAAAAGTGTCCATGAAAGAGGACAGCAGGTCTATGAAGTATAAGGTCAAGTAAACCCAAAATGTGATGTGCTCATATGAGGACACAGGGTCTCAGGAGGATATAACAGCAAATGTATATCTACCCTCACTATGGGAAGTTAGCAGTAAACTAATCAAAAACTAAATCAACAATCACAAAAAAAGCTGTAATAAAACATATACTTACAGGTAATGCTTCAACTGGCATTTGGGGAGCAAATAAAATATGTCAGTAATTGGACATGGATCTCACAAAATGGTGGACACCGTAAGGCAAGTCCTTTTAATATTAAATCAGTATGGCTGACAAGTGGTGATTGTTTTCACTAGTAAAAATGACATGTCACTTACATCGTCACAAGCTAACGACAATGCCATTCCCTATACTAAAAATGGTACAGTGTTGAACAGTCAGTTGCTAAGGCAGATGAATAACACTCACAGTAGAGGTGGAGCAAGGGGTGGCTTCTTGGGCTCCAGCCCTAAATGTTTTCTCTGAAGTCTTGAATCTTTTAGGTTTTTAAAATAACTTCAACTTTGTGTCATTCAGATAATAATATGTTGTTATACTATACAATTCCCTATGGAAATCTAAAAGTAATCTTGTGTTGACCTAACATTCAATTTAAAGTACTAAAAGAGCACATTTATTTGGCTTTGTTGCAGGGCCTTAGAGATAGGGTGAGGAGCTCAGACATCTGGAGGGAGCTTGGAGTAGAGCTGCTGCTCTGTCATATCGAAAGGGGCCAGCTGAGGTGGTTTGGGCATCTGGTCAAGATGCCTTCTGACAGCCTATCGTTAGAGGTTTCCGGGCACGTCCAACTGGTAGGAAGCCTTGGGGAAGACCTAGAACACGCTGGAGGGATTATATATCTTATCTTGCCTGGGAACACTATGAGATTCCCCAGGAGGAGCTGGAAAGCGCTGAGGAAGGGGGACGTATAGAGTACTTTGCTCAGCCTGCTGCCCCCACATCCATGGATGGATGGATGGATGGATGGATACAGGGGGTCCTTGATTTGCAAATGAAGCAGCCCAGAGTATTATAGCATGGATTTAAATGTAGCAGATTTGTCAACTAAATATCAATTCTGTGAACTCTACTGCAACATAATATAAAATAGGTTTCAGGATTAGTAAAACTTCTGGGGTGACCTCTAGCTCACCTGGTAGAGCATGTGCCTTACTCAAGCTGAGTCCTTGGCAGTGGCTCAGGCCAAATTCCAACCCATGACCCTTTGCTGTGTCATCGCCACTCTCTCTCCTGCCTTTCCTGTCACTCTCTAGCTGATTCACCATAAAAAAGGCAAAAAAGCCCAAGTAGTAAAAATTACTATCCTATTTCTGTAACTTAAAAATAGTAACGTCAGAAAATTTTGCATCTCTTTGGGTGGTAGGAGTGAAATTGGTCATCCTCAGCATTTGTAGTGTTATGGTTTCAGAATGACGAAGACAGCTTAGAGTAACAATTAGATACAAAACAGTGTGTAGGTTCTACTGGATGATCTTTTTCTTTGGCATCTATCATGTTTTTCCCGAGTGATATACACATTGTTAGACATAGTATTATCTCAAAGGGCTTTAGAAAGTGTGCATAATGCTGCAGTAAATGGGTTAAAAATCTTCCTGGGGGAACATGCCACTGGACGCCCTTAGATTTGGGCTGAGCCCCCAATGATTACAAAGTCTGCCCCTGACTCAAAGTTTGATAAAGTACTTGATTGCTGTATTTATCTACACATACAGTGAGCTACAGGCAATAAAAGTCAAACACAGTATACATATATAACTTACACATAAAGCGATACATACATAGACAGTTATGTTTGCCTCTGACATGAACACAGTATAGCTGCGTCGCAGAGCCCAGCAAACACTAAGCTAGACCCTCTATGTCTGCCAAAGAGTGAGACTGGATTATACAGGGCAATGCCAGTTTTACTCACCGCCTGGTGGGTTCCTAGTGGAAACTCACCACCATTCCCTGCCAGGCTCTTATATACCTGCGTCATCACCTGGCGCAGCCCAGTAGGGACCTGAGCCACACTCTCACTGCAGCTTGTCAAAAAGCAGGGCAAACAGTGGCAACAGGCAGACTGGGGATGAGTTAACCCACTTTTCAACTACAGTAGCCTAATTCCTGAAGCCAACAGAAACTAATAAGTCTATCTTTGTCACATTTTAGAGGCACTCATGTGGGACAAAGCAGTTTTTAAAGGCCAAGTTAAACTTTTTGACCATAAAATCTACAGGTAAAGTCACTTATATATATTAGAATAGTTCACTCACAGAAAAAACTAGATTTACTGCTTTGCAGATGTATGCCTTCGCGAACCAATCAAGTTAGACTTATAGTTTACATCCATGTCTGTAAAAACATGGATGCTCCACACACATCTTCCCCCCCGGCAGCACAAAAGAGATACAATCAGCAGTTTCAAGGTGGACACCCAAGATTAGTATCTGACCAAATGTCTCCTCTTCTGTTTCTGACTTAACCTATTGAGTAATTGCCAGAAAAGCGTTCTTGCAGAACATTATGATGTCACAGTGAAGCTGACCTTTGACCTTTAGGATCTAAAATGTCATCTCTTCATTATGTATTCGATAAGACATTTGTGTGAAATTTTGTCACAAATAGCACATGAATTCTTGTGTTTTGGCCAAAAACACCACAGGCCTTTGACCACCAAATTCTAATCAATTCATTCTTGAGTCCAAGCGGATGTTTGTGCCAAATTTAAGGAAACTCCTTAAAGGCTTTCTTGAGATATTGCCATCATGAGAATGAGGCAGATACAAGGTTACAGTTAACTTGACCTTTGACCACTAAATTATAATCACTTCATTGCTAAGTCCAAGTGAACGTTTGTACCAAATTTGAAAAAATTCCCTCAAGGTGTGCTTGAGATATTGCTTTCATAAGAATGAGACAGTCAAGGTCACAGTGACCTTAACCTTTGACCTATGACTGCCAAAAGAAAATCAGTTCATCTTTGAGTCCAAGTTGTTTTTGTTTTAAATTTGAAGATATTCCCTCAAGGCGTTCTTGAGATACGGCGTTCACAAGAATGGGACACACAGACAGACGGATGGATGGACAACGCAAAAACATAATGCCTCCGGTCATGGCTATTGCAGCGGGGAGGCACAGAAAACAGCATTATGTATTTCTACAGTGATCATAATTTAAAATACAAGCTACCCTATTTCACAAACATGACTATGGTAAACAAACCTCTGACAGAAAACAATCAAAATTAAGCTTTTCGTAGATGGTGAGTGTTAGTTTATTCTTTATTCTTCATTTGGATTGCAATTTGCTTCTACAGTGTCTGATAGTTTTTATGGGGTCCACACAAACTAACGTAAAAAAAAAAAACAACAACAACGTAAAATCACACTATCAATAGAACAAGAAAAGTAACATTAAGTCTATCATAACCATCAGTAAATAACAGAAATTAGGTCATGTGCATTAAAAGATATGTAAGTCAATGTAGGAGAGATACCAGCTGACATTCTTGTATTTGGAGGTTTGGTTTGGTTTTACATTAAAGCAGATTGTGTGTTTGAGGAAGGAAATTAGGTTTCGCGTGAATAGAAATATAATAATGTAAGTGACCTCATCTGTCTATTGTCCCAGGTTTTATTCATGTATTCCCTCTTTATTTGATTCCCTCATTTCATTCAAGTCTATATAAACACCACCAATGAGTTTCCAGCAGCATCTTAGGAATTCTTCAAACTGAAAGCCAGCTGTGTTGGATGCATTGTTTGAGCAGCCCTTTGAGGGAGGAAGTCGCTCAGCAGAAAGCAAATAGGAAATACTGTTTCCCCAGCAGAGGGGAAATCCTGTACAGAATGACAAAGCAGAAAATCCCTAAATGACAAGAATCCCTATCCCTAAATTAAAAATAACAATCAGGTTGGCGATAAGTCTTAAAAGCCTCCTCTGACTGTTTCTCCTGGTACTTTTGGTAAGCTACCAATATAATGTAGTTTATGGGGGATTTGGGGAATAAGTCTCCTCGGGCCTTTGTAGGAAAATCACTTAGCAAAACAATCCACTTTTAAGGAAACAATGCAAAGCATGTGATCAGTTTCAAACAGGTTTCAGGCTAAAATCCCATGCCTTAGGAATATACTATAGGCTTCTCATTATAGGAAT